GAAAGTTGCGCTGAGATAAGAGAGAGCGCCATAAGAAGAGAAACTGAAGGTGAATTTAGGTTGTTAGGAAGAAGGGAGGGGAGTAAATTTACTAATGGTCGATTATTTGGTTTGGAAGAGACTGAAGCACCAAGCAGGGGGAGACGGGTGTCCTTTAGTGTAGAAGATAACTGTAGAGATCATGGAAGCCATAATCTTGAGACAGGAGAGGTATCTGCAGCTAGTCTGGACGACGAAGATTACACCAGTGATGGGGAATATGGTGATGGACAAGACTGGGACAGGAGGGAACCGGAGATCACATGCCGACATATTGATCATGTTAATATGTTGGGCCTCAATAAAACGACCTCCCGATTGCGATTTTTGATCAACTGGCTTGTGACCTCATTACTGCAGTTAAGGTTACCTGGTTCAGATGGAGACGGCAGAACAAATTTGGTTCACATCTATGGGCCAAAAATAAAATATGAAAGAGGTGCAGCTGTGGCTTTCAATGTGAGGGACCAAAACAGAGGGTTGATCAATCCTGAAGTTGTTCAGAAGCTGGCTGAAAAAGAAGGTATCGCTCTTGGCATTGGCTTCCTCAATCACATACGAATCATGGATACCTCGAGACAGCATGGGGCTTCGAATCTTCAAGATACTACACTGTGCAGGCCGATGGAAAAAGGAAGAAAAGGCGGGTTTGTACGGGTTGAGGTTGTAACAGCTTCTTTGGGTTTTCTCACCAACTTTGAGGATGTTTACAAGCTATGGGCTTTTTTGGCCAAGTTTCTAAATCCGGCCTTTGTCAGGGAGGGTGGGCTGTCTACTGTCGAAGAAGAATCTGAGACAAAATCTGAAGCATCTCACGATGAGATTGTTCCGAATTGAGAATCAAATTTCCTGTGTTTGACATGTAAAATTGTTTGGTGGTCTCTCAAAACGTCTAAGCAGATGATTTCCAAGCCAAAGCGGGAATGGTTCTGTTCCTGTATGGGTGGATTCTGTTGTTCGTTTGCTCGGAAAACTCAACAATGCAGGCAGATGAATTTGTTGATTCATATTTGTTATTGCTCTGTATTCCCTTTCTTTCCTGTTTCACTTTTGGGGGTTCTTGTAGAGTTGGTTTAGAAGTTTGTATCATCTTCAGAAATGGTAATGCAAAAGCAGAGTTAGGATTGTAACTACTGCCATTAGTCCACTTTCTGCTCTTTCAGCATTTTATTTCTTGCAAGGAAATTCAGATTTTGCTCCTCATTTTTCTCTCTGTTTTTATGCTACCCTATTTAAAATTGAGAGAGGCCATGGAAGATGGGATTCTTCTGTCTCTATTTAAGTTGAAGATTCATTTGAAATTCAATGTCTATTATGTTTTTCAGCTTCTATTTTTCACCAAACCAGCTGTTTAGTTGAGCGACATTCTAATCTAAACCACGAGGGAATTGGAAATTGGGTAAGGAGGTCGCATTGCCCTAGCTAACTTCATTATGCCAAAGTATGCATAAAACTTGTTATTTTTACCATATGACAACAGCAGAATATGGATACACATTGAGCCATTGAATGTGAATCTTGTCAAACCGAAAAAAGTAGAAAGAAATTAAAGATTAAAGAGCGGCAGATTTAAATGTATGGCATGGAGGTGTTCTTTTTATTTCTTTTTTTCTTTTTTTTTTTGTAGTAATAATCATCAGTAGGCCATATCCATTGAGTTTTGTTTCCCCTGGAATTACAGTGATTAAAGTATATATCATTAGACTTCTCTTTTAGCTTTTTGTGCGTTATGTGGCTCTCTCACTCTAAACCATTTCCAACTATACATTTTCACGTATCTATCTCTTTTACCGAATGACAATGCATGCAACCAGTTAAAAGACAGATTCTCGCTTTTAGTTGAAGTTGGTAGCTTATTGTCAGTGCATTATAAGGCAAAAACACAGCCCATATTATAAGGCAAATCTTTTTATTCCAACCAGAATAATACAGAGAGAATGGAAGTTATGGGTTTGACTCCTAATTTTATCTATATTGATAGAAACCAAATTTGGAGGCTATTGGGGAACCTAATTTGTAGATAGAGGAAACCTATTCTTGGTAGTTGGTGGGAAATGAAATTTACCATTTCAATTTTCATCACCCAAGTTTTTTAGTATACTTTGGAATATTTTATATTTTGAAATTTTTAATTGTTACAATCTTGATCAAGAATATAATAATTAAAATTTAATAGTTAAAAATCTCGGAATATAAAATATTATGAACCACCGTAAACTTTTTGTTCAGCGCTGCCCACTTTTTTCATTTTATCGGTTCATTAAAGAGCTGCCTGCATTTTTTCACATCCATTCAGCTGCCACAACCAAACTCCAGATCCTATTGGACCTATTCATATCAGTAAAAAACTAACAAAAGAGCATTAAAGGAAGGATACTCGAACTTGAAACACGTTATAAAGTGGTGCTATCCGTATACCTTATTTACCTTCACACATTTGTCTCTTAATTTTTTATTGTCTGATAAAAAGTAAATTGATGAAAATCAATGAATAAAAATCAACAAAAGTGTGAAAAGTAAAAAAATGTGAGAAAAACACTATCCCATATTATAACATTGCGAAAAGAAATATCATTTAAGTAAGAGTAAGTCGACCTCTTTTGAATACTGTGATAAAGGAGAATAGTTATATTTAATGAGAAAGTAAACAAAAAAAAGGGAATTATAAGGGAAAGATTAAACCCCATTTAACCAAAGCATCCAAACAAAAAAGGCAGTTAAAAGTTCAAACCAAGAAAGATCCATGCTTTATTTATAGGGAATTTTAACAAAAAACTTCCGGTACTGTTCGTTTTAACAAAAAACTATATTTTTACTTTAATAAGTCAATCCTGATACTATTCACTTACAACGCCTTTTTGTCATTTTCGTTAAAACTCAAAATTTTCAAACTATTTTTCATTAGTTTCCCTTTATTTATAAGCCTTCAAAACTGCAGCATGAAATAATTTAGGGCATTAATTGATGCCTCAAAGCAACCAAACTTCTACTTTTCATGTACAATTTGGTTGTGGATTTAAGGTATTTGGCAGAAAAGGAAAAAAAAAAAAAAATGTAATCTTTGAAGCCACACTCCTCTGCCACTGAAGATACGAAGTGAAAACAATCTAAGTATACAAATTCAATGATAATAAATGATTTCTCTTTAGGTTGACGGTTGAGAGATTCTTTCATGTTTCCGTTTTACCATGTGGCAATCATTCATTGAACATTGAGAATATTTTTTGAGTACGTGATGAGTAATTATTGGATAATGACACCATATGAACTAAATATCGATTTTACGTGCATACAAAGAATGCTAACAATCTTATCTTTTGTTAAAAAAAAAAAAAAAAAAATTGAACCCATCCCAAAATAAGCACTGGATCCCTTCCACCTAATCCTCCTCATCAAATAATCTGAGCCCTTGAAATTTGATCAAACGGCTAATGTTATTATAACTTTTAAAATGGGCTCGTGTTTTTAGCTGTTGGATCAAATTCAAATGCCCAAATTATTTGATAAGAAGGTTTAGGTGGAAGAGATCCGGAGATGATCTCTTTCCCCAAAATAATATATTCAAAGGCCAAGAATATGTTGAAAAAAGTTGTTTTGAGATTGGAATGATAGATTGAGGAGAATGAGGATCCTCTCCGGATCTTTTTTGTGAGGATTCTAAGGATCCTCAAATTGTGTCCATTCATCGTACATTGTGCGGTCAGTTTTCGTCAGATATTATTCATATTTAATTTTAAATAAAAATATTTAAAATGATTTATGACCACACGATGTACGATGAATGAACGCGATTTGAGAATCCCCATCATCCTTACAAAGAGAATCTGGAGAGCATCCTCATTCGATTGAGGGGTTATGAAAAATCCATTCAGGCTACCAAGTTGGAGAGAATTAGCCTCATATAGGAGTGGGCATGGGTTTGGCCAGGCCCAAATTTGAAGGGACCAGACCAGACCCGGGTACAAAGGAGACGGGCTGGGCTGAGTCGGGGAATACATTTTCTTATATAGGCATCACAAGAAATCCATGATAAATACGAACAAATCTTGATATGAAAGCCCTAATATGAAGCTAAGAGTGACCTAACACACATGGAGATATTAGTACTCTTTAGCCTTAGCATCCTCACTAGTGGCAGCAGCGGTAGGTTCCACTGCAGAGCTCGCAGTCTCGGACTCTATGGTGCCGTTTTGAGTAGTGGAAGCAACGACATTCCTGGACTTGACAGTGTCAAGCATGCGCTTGCTGATCTCCTTGGAGTAAACCTGCAGGATCTAAATCTCGTCCTCCTTGATGAGGGGATGGGACAACGCACTCGAGATGGTGAAGGAGAGGTGACAAATCAAGAAGATGGTGGTGGGGTGGCTGGGTTCTGTAAGTCTGGGTCCTTGGGATGTCAAATCGAGACGGCAAGAAAGAGGTGAGAGAGAGATGACAAATCAAGAAGATGGTGGTTGTCTAGGCCGTCGTGTTGTTGGGGTGGTGGAGGGAAGGAGACGACACACTGGAGACGGCAAGAGAGACTTGATCGACATAGTGAGAGTGACAGTTGAATTCGATAGGTTTGAGGATGAGCAAACCTAAAACCAACGATTCAGATTGGATGGAGAGATGATCTCTTCAATCTCATCCGTCCATTCTAACTACAAACGGGCCAGTCCGGGTACCTGCGTTTCCTATACTTCAAGAACCGGCCCAAACCGAACATTTTAAAGGCCCGCCTTGCCCCGCCCAGTTTCTGTTTTTATAAAATAGGAACCAGCCCGTACCCGTCTCCAACCTTAAGTACTCGCCCTGACTTGCGGTTTCTGTGCCTGTTTGCCCACCTCTAGCTAGCCTCAGCATCAGCCAACTGATCATTTGACTTTTCACCATTGACCGCAAGAGGAAAGTGGCTCCAAAGGGTCCCACCTCCAACAGTTTAAAAAACCAAAGCCTGACTGTTAATTTGTCATGGATGGATTGATTGATTGAAAATTGGAAGGCCAAAAAAAAATGCACATACAGAGCAGAAAAGCACCATTTGGCATTCGGTTTATGAAAGTCAATGCCCTTTTTCTCTCTGTTTGTTAGCCAGGGATTGGTATGGGAAGAAGATTGTAGAGAGAGAGAGAGAGAGAGAGAGAGAGAGAGAGAGAGAGAGAGAGAGGGTATTGGGGGTTGCCAAATCAACACACCTATGTGTTTTGGATTTACAGAATCTGAGTAAATGAGAGCATTTCGTGAGGTGGTGGTAGTGGTGGGCTTTCTTTCCCATTAAATGTGCTGCCGCACTGACAGTTGACGTTTGGTGGGATTTTTGAGCTGGAAGAAGTACCCACCTTTCCTTTCAAATCGGGGGTTTCCCATCTCTGTAAAAGTTCCTACCTTTCTGAAAATTCAACCCAAATCTCAATATATCAAGATTTGGGTTTTGTTAATCTCCCCTAAATCTCAATTCCCAAAAGAGGAATTAGGGATTCATGCATTTTTCACTGTGGAAGTCCTTCTCCCACTGCGTTGCTCTGTTCCTGGACAAGAAGAGCAGCAGCAGAAGAAAGAAAGATGGGTCGGATACGAACTCCGACGCCAAGAAAAACTCGTCAATTCTCCGGAAGCTTCAAGAAAACAAGCTCAGGGAGGCTCTGGAGCAAGCTTCGGAAGATGGGTTTCTCTTCAAATCTCAGGACATGGAGTCTGAGGCCATTGCCTACCAGGACGAGGGGATTGGACGGTCCAGATCGCTCGCTAGGCTCCATGCCCAGCGGGAGTTTCTTTGTGCCACTGCTCTTGCTGCTGACCGGATTTTCGAGTCCGAAAACGCCATCCCTGAGCTCCATGAAGCGTTCACAAAGTTCCTCACTATGTACCCGGATTACCAGTCTTCGGAGAAGATTGATCAGCTGAGGGTGGAGGAGTATGCACATTTGTCTCCAAAGGTATGCCTTGATTACTGCGGGTTTGGGCTTTTTTCGTACCTTCAGACACTGCACTATTGGGATTCTTCTACATTTAGCTTGTCTGAGATAACTGCAAATTTGAATAATCATGCACTTTATGGTGGTGCTGAGAAAGGCACTGTGGAACATGATATAAAAACTTGGATTGTGGATTATTTGAACATTCCTGAGAGTGAGTATGGTCTTGTTTTTACTGTGAGTAGAGGTTCTGCATTTAAATTGTTGGCTGAATCGTACCCTTTTCATACGAACAAGAAATTGTTGACGATGTTCGATTATGAGAGCCAGTCTGTGAATTGGATGGCTCAGAGTGCTAGAGAGAAGGGTGCAAAGGTGCACAGTGCTTGGTTTAAATGGCCAACCCTCAAACTCTGTTCCACTGATTTGAGAAAGGAGATTTCAATTAAGAAGAGGAGGAAGAAGGATTCCGCAGCTGGTCTTTTTGTGTTTCCGGTGCAGTCTAGAGTTACTGGGGCGAAGTATTCTTACCAATGGATGGCACTGGCTCAGCAGAACAATTGGCATGTCTTACTTGATGCAGGGTCTTTGGGTCCCAAAGACATGGATTCACTTGGACTGTCACTCTTCCGCCCTGATTTTATCATCACATCGTTTTACAAGTTATTTGGGTTTGATCCAACTGGATTTGGCTGCCTTCTGATTAAGAAATCAGTAATCGGATGCCTTCAAAATCAGTCAGGGTCAACTGGGTCTGGAATGGTGAAGATTACCCCTGAATACCCTTTATATCTTAGTGATTCGGTTGATGGTATGGACAAAATGGCTGGAACTGAGGATGATGAAGTAACTGAAAATGGTGAGAAAACCGCTGAAACTCGGCAGGGAAAGCAGATGCCTGCATTCTCTGGAGCATACACATCCTCTCAGGTCAGGGATGTATTTGAGACTGAGATGGATCACGATAACAGCTCAGACAGGGATGGGACGAGCACCTTATTTGAAGAAGCTGAGAGTGTCTCAGCAGGGGAGCTTATGAAGAGTCCAATCTTCAGTGAAGACTATTCATCAGACAATTCGTATTGGATTGGCTTGGGTCAGAGCCCAATGGGTTCCGACCATTCTAGTCAGATTAACAAACATAAGATTGCCTCTCCTCAGCCTCCATTTTGGTTTTCTGGCAGGAAGAATTGTAAGCAAGTTTCCCCAAAACCTGCTTCTAGGCTGTATGGCAGCCCCGTATTTGATGATAAAAAGGCAAACTCAGGGCTACATGATGACTCTCATGTGCTATCATTTGACGCCGCTGTCCTATCAATTTCTCAGGAGCTGGACTGTGTCAAGGAGGTCAATGAAGAACAATTTGCAGAAGCATGTCCCACTTTACAAAATGGTGAAGGGCTTCTTATCATCATAATGGAGAGATCCAAGAAGAATGTGGAACTATCGAACCCTTGTCCAATGGGTCAGTGTTTAATTCTGGCACAAATGGATTTTGTCACGAAAATTCAACTTCCACTTATCAGCATCAGAACCTAGAAAATGGATCAACCATTGGAAGTTGCACAGAGATTAGAGGTGGTGCCATAAGAAGAGAAACTGAAGGTGAATTTAGGTTGTTAGGGAGAAGGGAGGGGAGTAAATATGGAAATGGTAGATTTTTTGGTTTGGAAGAGAATGAGCAACCAAGCCGGGGGAGAAGGGTGTCCTTTAGTGCGGAAAAAGACCACGTAAGCCATAATCTTGAGACAGGAGAAATTTCTGCAACTAGTTTGGAGGATGAAGAGTCCGCTAGTGATGGAGCATATGGTGATGGGCAAGACTTGGACAGAAGGGAACCTGAGATAATATGCCGGCATCTTGATCATGTTAATACGTTAGGTCTCAATAAAACCACCTCCCGGCTGCGATTTTTGGTCAATTGGCTTGTGACCTCTTTGCTACAACTAAGGTTGCGTGGATCAGATGAAGACAAAGGAACAAATCTTGTTGACATCTATGGCCCAAAAATAAAATACGAAAGGGGAGCAGCTGTAGCTTTTAATGTGAAAGACCAGAATAGAGGGCTAATCAATCCAGAAGTTGTCCAGAAGCTGGCTGAAAAAGAAGGAATCGCACTTGGCGTTGGTATCCTCAGTCACATACGAATCATGGATAGTCCAAGACAGAAAAATGGTGTTTTGAATCTTCAAGATGCTACCCTTTGCAGGCCAATGGAGAACGGCAGAAATGGTAAAAAAAGCGAGTTTGTACGCCTTGAGGTTGTGACAGCTTCTCTGGGATTCCTTACCAACTTTGAAGATGTTTACAAGTTATGGGCTTTTATAGCAAATTTTCTTAATCCAACCTTTATCAGAGAGGGTGGGCTGTCAACTGTCTATGAAGAATCTGAGACGAAATCTGTAACATCTGTCCATGATATTGTTCAAAGTTGAGAAACGAAATGATCAATTTGATGGTGAAATTATTTGTTACCACTGTCTGAGCATCCGAGCTGATGGTTTCCACGCCGAAGGGATGGACCGGCCCTAGATCCTGATTTTTCTGTGAAGTTGCATTCTTTTGTTCTTCAACAAATTGCTCATGGATGCAGGTAGATGAATCTGTTAACCTTTGCATTCTCGTTTTTCGCCTTTTAGGTTTTGTTGTAGATTTATGTTTCCTTTGTTTTCTATTTTCTGCTAGAAAGAAAGGGTTGTTGTAGAGTTGGTTTAGAGATGTGTATGGTTTTAGGCAAAATCATACAAATCTCTAATCCAAAAGCAGAATTAGATTGGAATTGTTCCCATTACTCACACTCTGCTCTTGTACAATTCATGGTATAAAATAATTGATTACTTGTGAAAAAAGATCCTTTGATTTTGCACTCTTTTGCTTTTTAGCATTGTTCTTATGAAGATGTGTGATAAGTTTTGCCCTACCAGACTTCGAAAACCGGCAAACGGAGCTGCCTAATGACGGCTTGGTTTGGATCGGTTGTCACCGGTGCTTTTTAGTCACTAAATTTAATCGAACCGTGTCCACACCTAATAAAACAACGTATTTATTTTATTTTATTTGTGTAAGGCTTTGGGGTGCTTTTCTTAAAGAGTTGGTATTATGGAAAATGAAATGATCAATTGACGACGTATCAATTAAATAGTAATTATTTTAACAACTGAGATTTATAATATGATACTTCCGGCTGATCTTAGTTTTAAATCAAATATCAACCAAACATTGATGACATATCACTCAAACGTTGACCATTTCAAGAATTGACAATTGAGATTTAAAATCTGATAATTTATGGCTGTCATTGTAAAGAAACAAAGCAATGACACCTAACCAGCAAATACACATCCCACATTATTTAGGAACCTCTTGTTGGGGAAGTGGGTATTTGGGAAAAGCTTAACTTCTGAAGGAAACTTTTCCAGCGTGGGTCATGACAGTGATCGGTCGACAAATTTGATCCCATTGAATTTTTTCTAGTTGCCAACTGAAACTATTATATCAAGATAGTGACATACTTACATATATATATATATATATATATATATATATAAATATTATATGACAGAAAGCTTCTCCAAATAGATAAGGTAAAAAATTAAGAGGATAATGCCACCTTTATCTTACCTTTAATTTCAATGACAAATGTACTGAACAAAATATGAACATATTAGTTGAAAGCAACTTGTGCCATACAGATTATTGGTTTCCACGCGATAGTACCACATGATAGTTTCTCCGGGGATGATCTTTTGTCTTGATTCCACAGGTTGGTTTAGCATAATGAACTAAATTTTAGACCATGTGTATGAAGACCTACAGTGATTGAAAGGGAATCTGAAACTTGAATAGGAAACCGATAAGTTTTGCCCTGATTCGATCCTGGTTGGCCGCTAGCTTCTCTGTTGCTGATGAACAGATGCACTACGGACAGGAAAAGCGAAATCTAGGGTCTATGATTCCATCACCTTTATAAGAAATGCAGACTCCAGTGCCGACTCCTTGCACTGGAGATACCTGTTTTCCTCCACTTATCTGTTGTTAGATTAAGCAGTAGGGAACTTTAACGAAAAGCTCCATTTTGCAGATTCCCAAACTCCAAACCTGAAACATGTCAAGCAAATAGATCATGAACACGCTGCCAACTCTTTCTGTTTTTCTGACTTCTGAAAATCCTCCTTGTTCATCTTGTGAGAATATTTACATCCTTGCAAAACAGTTAAAAAGTGAAAATTAACGTAGGGCATATGAAAAATTACCGTGTATTGAAAGATGAGGATATCATGACAGCTGGAAAAAGAACATCCTTCTGAATATTGTCATAAGGAGAATAGTCACGTATAGCGTGAAAATCATCAATGTCCCCAGGGTATCCAAACTCTTCATAGTCAGCAGCTGTAAGCGGTAAAATGGGAGAGAGAAGAGTGTTTGTTGCGTCTAAAAATGGAACCTGAAGCACAGAGCAAATGAATTCATTTCTGAAGCTAATCACAAGAAATTCAGCGTGACTAAGTATATTTAATACAAACGATAAAGAATGAAATGCCTCATAAACATATGCTTGAAAAATGAAGTTCCCAATGCATTAGTTTCCCTCAATTACCAATCATCTTTCAATTACCAAATCACAATTGTCAAGAAATTATGATGAGATTCTCTTCGAGTTGAGAAGCAAAACAAAACCCAAATTAGAAGGAACAAAGTCTATTTAACCAAAGCAAACTACATCAAAACTACACAACAAGAACTAATCAGAAACCTAAATGACAATAAAAACCAAAAGCGGAAGAAGATCCATGTTTACCTTCAAAATTTCAGCCTTAAATAGATATGGGGATTGATTGATGGCTGAAGCAACCATGAGTCCTCCAGCACCATGACCCCAACCAGCAAGTTTGTTTTCATGGACAATCTCTCTGTCAACAAGAAATTTGGCACAGGAGATGTAGTCTTTGATGGAATTAGTCTTCTGTGTACGTCTTCCATCATGGTGGCACTTCTTACCTCCACCTCCTCTGCCTCTGGAAATATTATCCAGACATGGTTAGTAGGCAATCACAAGGCTCTTTCGAAAGGAAAAATAATGTGAGTTTTGCAATGCTGATGATGTCAATTATTTAGTATGCCTGAAATTAAGCCACAAATAACTTAGAAATGGTATTCAACACAAACCAGACCTAACATCAGCATACGCAAGATCCAACCAAGATCAAGAAGGCTTTTCAACTCACTGCGCCATCGCTTGTCAAGAAGCTCACCGTAAGCTCCATGGACATGAAGCAATCCAGGGTTCTGATCCTCTTTCTTGTTTTTGCGGGAGTATACAACAGTCAATGGAACCAAAACTCCATCATAAGAAGATACATTATACTGTTCACAAGCATAAAACTCAGAAAGATCTTTCCACAACTGAGCATCATCAGAGTTGGAATCAGTTATAAGATTCAAAGGTTTTGAATTTATGGCTTCCTCGTTGATGTTTTCTATGGAATTTGTTCCAACAAAACTCGTGTTCTTTCACGAAAAATATTCTGCTGTTCAATGATATTCCAATTTCCATTTGACAGGTCATAATCACCACAGCATCTGGAATCTGGGAAAGTTAAGAAGATTGGGTTCATAATCTGAACTTTGGACATGGAACACAAATGGATAGATGACTCCAGAGTAGTGCACATTCAGTAATCTTAAAACAGAAGGATGCATATTGTGCTTATTTATTAATAAACCTAATCTGAAAAGTGAAAACCTAGAACATCTAAAAATTTGCAAATTCTAAACCAAGCTGGGTAGACAAGGGAAATTTTGAGATAAATTGTTTGGCGAAAGGATTAATTTACACAGCCCACTTAGAAAAGGAAGAAGCTCAAATTACAATCGTGACATTTTAACTTCCTTTCTTTGATGGAAACACATTATGAATGCATAAATCTATGGAAGAATCCTGCAACAATCTTTAGAAGTGATCACTTTTACTCACATACCACAGGCGATGATATTGTAAAGCGCATCACCGGTGAATGGTAATCATTATTTGGTCCAGGTGAAATTTGTGCAACATATTTTGGAAGAGGCAGGAATAGTGATTGAAGCTCTTTTAGGTGCACTGGCCCCTGAGACAACATGAGGTTAAAAGAATGAGAATATTAACGGTCAAGAGAAAATTTTAAATTCTTCTACATTGAAATTGTTGATAACAATGCATGATGCACACATATGACATACCCCAAAATTGGTGCTGTTAACCTACCTTCCCAGCAGGCAAAGGTACAGTGACAGAACAAAGTTTAAAGTTTTGCCCTTCCCTTAAAATAACTACCGAATACATTCTGCAGTAAATCAGATAGTAAATTAACGCCTGGGGATAACTATCCACATTAAACAAGAAAAATACTCAGATAAAACAGATAGTCGAACTGAAATGCTCATACTTGATGCTAGAGAAAAAAGCTACTAACAAAAAATCATTTTAATAACAAAGAGAACTGCTATAGGGCATATCACAAGGAGAGAACAAAAACCATTCAAAAGCAGAAAACTTTAAAATAAAATAAAAAAAATGAAAGATTGACATGAGAAACAAACGTAACACATAGTTAACCACAGACCTCCCATATTCTTGGACTGGAAGAAGAATGCAGTGGACTCTGAAGAAGATAATGGTAATCAACTGACTGGTCCGCTTTAGCAGCATCCGTAAACAGATAAAGAAATCCTTGGTGATGCTCAAGTATGCCATGTGCTTTACCATTACACTCCCGAACTAAGTTCATCCCGGACAATGGATTAGCTGCATTTATCAAAAACACCTAAAATAAGGTCACAATTACTAATTACTATATCTCTTTTTTTAATTTATTATTATTAAGGGGAAGCGGAGGGTTCAAAACTATTACAATAATTTAGGGAAGTGGGGAGTTTCGAACCGGGTACACCCTACCAAGGAGAATATTGGACCACATGCAAAAATCGATGCTTTAGCCAATTACTATTACAGAGTCATCTTCAAAAGTATGCCTTGGAACTTGGAAGACATGGTGGAGAAGGATACACTGTCACAAAACGGAAATCTTTAGTGTGTCGAATGTTAACATAAACTTCCTCATCCGGTTCTTCTAGAATCAAAACATCATCATCGGTTGATCCAATCCCGCTACAATATATCCTGATTGACCAAATAGGCTAGAATTACCAACACTTCACTCCGGTAAAACAGAATAACATGCATAAACAGTAAAATTTCGCATAATACTAGCCTATATGGCCGCCTGTTTTCATCAGTGACAACATAAGCAATGCCTGCCCGTCTTTGGCCCAAGCCAAATTCGAAACACACTCTACTTTCGGCTTACTATACAATGCACCAGAATTCAAATTCCTGACAGATAAACAAGTCAGCCTCCTTATCATACATTGTGTAAGCTATAAACCCACGATCCGGCGACACTTCCGATAACTCGTCGTAAGCATATCCTACACAAAATTAAACTCAAACTAAATTCCCAACCAAACAAAAAATTTCCAGCTTTTAACATAAATTAGTAAATGATTGGCAATTTACCCCCACATCTTTGGGACTCCTGATTGTAATCAATGAGCTTCTGCTCGATCCCCTTCCCCGATGTGAAATCGAATCCGGAGGAAGGCGATTTGTGCGAAATGAACTCGTCGTTTAAACTCGCGAGTCTCCGGCAGAGCACCGGAAGTTGCTTCCCCTCCTCCACGCGCCGGTAGTAGAACCTGAAAGCATTTGATTCTCACTCTCAAGCATCGGAAACCCAGAAATACCAGGGGCCCCAGCGCAGGGGAGGGGTGGAGAGGTCGGAGGCGATGCGAGAGGCCATCTCGGCCTGGAGATTGCTCTGAAGGCGGTCGGTGCCGGACATGACGGCCTCCGTGTACTTCTCCTCTTGCTCCATGTACATGTCCAGGTGGCGCAACGCCACTTTGTCGTTGAGCTTCGACATCCAGCTGTAGGAGTCCTCCCACGGATGGTCGTGGAAGTTGAAGCTCGGGCTTCTGCGGCGGCCGTGGCGGCCTTGGTGACGCCGTTGACGACGGCTTATGGGGGCCCAACGCAGACGGCGGCAATGTTGACGGAGGGGTTTAAGGAGGTGGCGCATGGTAGGGGGTTACATTGGTGGTGGCCCTGGTGGGTTTACGCTGGGGGTTTAAGCGAAGCCAAATTACAAAAATGAATTTTGTAGTTTGACCATGTGTCTAATTGAGTCGCTTAACAGAACTCTCTATTCTCGAGTGAAAATATCAATATACTAAAAAAAAAAAAAAAAATCAGTCAATGTAATTCCCATTTTATGAACTTTGCGACATATATAGGATTGATTGTGCCGCCAAAAATGTAATAGTCAATAATCGAACGGTCGAAGATTTCGTGTATACCATGCTCCGAGCACCTGATTTCATTTCAGTTTAAAAAAAATAGAGTCAAACCATTTTAGAAAACTCTGATTTGATTGACATGGTAGATTTTCTGTTTTGTACAAAAGCATATCAAAAGTTTGTGGCTTTTTGATTGGGCGGTCTGATTTCTGGAGTCTCTGACCTGCCAAGGAGCTAGCAGTGTGGAGCACACAAAAATTTAAGTAACCAAGAAAGTACAAGAGAAATTGTTATGAGAGATCAGAAGTGGTCAAAGCAATGGCATGATAAACGGTTCAGATCAAATGAGAAAGATCCAACGGTGATTGCAAAAACACAGACCACAGGCTTTTTTTTTTTTTTTTCCCCTATATATTGATATTTTTACACTGAGAAAGGGAAGTTCGACTAAATTACACAATGGATAGCTTAAGTTGGTATCGAATTCGTCATCCACGAAATTCGAACTTAAAATCTCTCATTTCTAATTGAAGAAGAATACTACCAAATCGTAATACTAACACGCAGACATTTAAATTAGGCTCTTTTTTCATCTCAACTCTCACTCATTCAGTATCTCTCTCTCTCTCTCTTCCAATGGCTTCTTCCATGGAAAAAGATCTTCAAGAGAGAAAGCTTGTAAGTTGATCAAAACTTTGCTTCTCGTCATTTTTCTCATTTTTTTTTAACTTGAAAGTTGGGACCTTTATAAAATGCTATGTTTTTTGGCCTTTTATTCTTCATTTGTTTCTCTTCATATGTAGTTTCTTGAGAAATTCTTATCCTTTTTGGTTAATTAGCGTTCCTTTCCAGATTAAAAAAGCACAACTCTTTTACTGATTACTTCTCTTAAAATACATAAGTTGTTGTTTTCACACTAAAACTTTGATCTGCTTCCTTGTGGAACTTATAATTAAAGCCAAAAGCACTCATTTCGGCTTTTAACATAAGCTAAAATATGGCTTCATTTTTGGCATCCCAAATAAACCATTGTTATAAAATCAAATCCGATGCCGATGAGCAGTCCATATCATAATGTCTCTTCGTTAATTTATGTCACATGTAGTCTTGATATTGTAGATAACTATAGATGCATGGACATATTAATCAGAGCAAGTTATCCATTGCAGAAACCTCCAGAGAGTGCTGTGGTTATGTATGGAGATTATCTAGGAGACAAAGTAGTTCTCAAGGTTCCGAACGGAGAAAAATGGCCGATAGGATTGACTAGCCGTGACGGCAAGGTTTGGTTAAACAAGGGCTGGTCAAAATTCGCAGAGTTTTACTCACTAGACCATGGTAACTTACTGATATTCAGCTTTGAAGGAGATCATTCTCACTTCCACGTGCGGATTTTCGCGAGGAGTTGTTTAGAGAAGGACTTCGGTTCATTTTTTAGTGTTGAAGACCACTTAAGTGGTGAGACAGATAACGTTGGTTCATCCGAGTCACCTCTAATGGGGTCGTGTAGCAGGAGAAATGGTAAAGGCCCTGCATTTCAGCTGAATGCTCCTCCAAGCTTCTTCAAGGTTGTCCTGGATGAAACACTTCGAGATGGGAAGATCGTAAGTTATAACTTTGCTTCCTTTTATTCTATCTCTACCTATATTCTCTCTGCTTGGAGTTGTGAACTTTAGTTGATATTCTTAGCATGAAAGTTGAAATCTTGCGGTGATATTTCTCATCTTCTCTAGAAAACCGTTGACTTGCCTTGCACATATCCTGCATTTACCTGCTCCTATGTATATTTTGATCTTGTTTTCGAAATGGTGTATATATCGTAAATCGTAATATCCCTGTGCTAATCAAACTTTACTAATTACTGGTATGTTATATGATGTTTCTTGCATCGACTTGTTCTTTTAAGTTGGGACAATATCGGTGATATTGGTGGTAGACCATGTTGGGCCTATAAAGTTTATCATAATCTTCATTATAAATTACATAAAACAAGCTGCTGAATGTTCCAGTAATATTTTCTTGTTTTTATTTCTTCATGAAATATGCTATCGACTACAGAAAATTCCACCGATAGGTTCGATGAAATATGAAGATTTTATCGGAGACAAAATGGTCCTTGAAGTTCCAAATGGACCAGTATGGCCAGTAGAACTGTCAAGGCGTGATTGTGAGATTTGGTTACAAAAGGGCTGGCTGAAGTTCGCTCGATTTTACTTCCTCGAGCTGGGGTGCTTATTGTTGTTCACCTACAAAGGGGTCTATTCCCATTTCCAGGTTCGCATTTTTCGAAGGAATACTTTAGAGATGGACTACTTCAATTTAAGAGATGAAGATGAAACCGATTCCAATTCAATTGGGGAAATTGAATGTCAAAGAATGAAGCATGACGAGGAAACGAGGACGCACGGTATCTTCACTATGGTTTGAGTGCACATTTAGAACACTTCTGAGATTTTCCTTTTCTTCTAAAACCTCTCATAGAGTTGAATAATTGGAATTAAACAGGTGGTGATGGAGGCATGTCTGCCGCACACAGATCACCAAAGGTCCTTTTGAGAACTGGTCAGAGTGAATTGGAAGATAAAACTGAAAGAGCCTTTGCAAAAGCTAGAAGTTTCAAATCTCGCAATCCATTTGCTGTGATCAGAATGCGACCATTATACATTTCAACTCACTTGGTAAGCTTTTTTGCAGCAACCCCCGGTTTGTATATGTGACTAACATCAACCCCGTTTTGGCTTCGTCCATATGTGTTTAACTTGTTTTATTTTATTTCTGTTTTGCAGAAATTACCTATATACTTTGCCCAGGAACATATTTGTGAAAGCGGCGAACACAAAGTGACTCTAAAGATTTCAGATATGAGATCTTGGTCTGTTAAGTGCATTATCCAGTTATACAACTGTCAGACATGTGCAAGATTCCAGGATAATGGTTGGAAAGCGTTTGCAAGAGACAATAGACTTGAAGAAGGGGATGTGTGTGTATTTGAGGTGATACCGAATACCTCTAAATGTGCACTCAAAGTTTACATATTCCGAGATAAAGATCAATGATGCGGATGCCTTCAACAACGCTAGCGGAAGAGCATGACTTAATGTTCTGATCATCATAGTTGTCATTAGCGACTATTTGAGTGTCTTGGGTTGTGAAGAAGATATTGAAATGATGAGATAGTCTAACTTCATTTGCAGTCACCTTAGAACCGAACAATTTGAACATGATCTGATGGATTGATCGATGTTGTCAAATTATTGTTATTCAGTTTTGAATTATTTTTCTACTAAATTTATGGTGTTTCGGATGATTCATCGTTTCAAGGATTGAAGTGGTTAATATTTTCATGTTCGAAGCTAGTATTTTTGTGACAGAACTATACCATGCTTCGAAAGAAAAAACAGAACTGGGGGCTGCACTGATCCGCTACTGCGAGAGTCTGATTTCTATGCTGATGACATGCTAGTTACATATGCAGAACAACTCAGCTATGTGCCGGCAGCTGCAATAACCTTGTTGTTTGTTGACTTCTCTGCAACATTAGGTGTGCGCATGCCCAAAAACTTACAGAAGTTCATACTCGAACTTGTTAGGTCATCGTTTAAAGTTTCGTTTTTCTTCAAATTCTTTGTAGTTATGTCCTTAAGATCGTGTGGTAATGATCACTTGTGCTTAGTTCACGGGGATAGTATTTTCTTAAGGATAATACTAGAGAGACTAAATTTCTAAACTAAATTTTGTTAATCAAATGATGTGGTGTGGATTTTTAGTATCAAAGTAGTTTCTATTTCATGAAGAGTTTTGAATGTACAAGGCAATATATGTAGGCAAGAAAAGTACATGGTTACAAGCAACCATCTTTACATGAAACCCTAGAGACCGGGTAAACCTAGGACACATACTTTTCCTTAATTTAAGGTGATTTACACCAGACCCAAGACTAAGAAGTAATCAGCAAGTTAAGGACCTTAAATCAAGGAAAAAGAGAAAGCTAGAAAGCTGGCGGTTGACATTGAGCATCCATGATTACTTGGAGACTTGTGATATGAGATGACATGCTAATGTTTAGTGATTGGTTCCAACACTCCCCCTCAAGCTGGATCGCGGAGTGTAGTCGAGCCAAGCTTGCTCAGGAGCCGTTGAAACTGATGAGAGGGTAGAGCCTTGGTGAATAAGTCAGCCAATTGGTCATGGCTCCGAGTGAATTGAGTTTGAATATGTCAGTGCAAGGAGAACAACTGTTTCTGGCAGTAGGAGCTGAAAAGGTTCATAATGCAGGCCTAGAAGTGTTCCGTTGATATGCAGTGTTTTAAATATAGTTATGCTAGAACGGCTTGCGCCTTATATGCAATGAAATGTGTTCTGAAAATTGTTGGTGATGTAGGTGCAAACCTTTTTTTTTTTTTTTTTTTTTTTTAAGCAAATGTTGCACTTTTGGGTAAATAGGGGACAATCATCGAGCAAATTCCACTTGTATTTTGTAGGCAGATGTAATGAAAATTTTTGTGAAATTCAGTTATCGTTGTATAGATTTTGGGTTTTAGATTTTGAATAAAGTAGCATTGTAATGAGATTACGTTCTTATCTTCTTTTCCTTAAAGTAGGAATAAGGTAAATTGCCCCCACGCCTACTGGACATTGGGTTGTGTCCCTAATTGCCCAAGGAAATCCATAAAAATCCTAAGAAATCTATGAAAAAACTCCATACAAATCTGCCAAAATCTAAAAGAATTGTAAAATTTATTAAAATCCTTTGAAATATGTCACTGAAAAACAATCTATTAAAATCCTGAGAAATCCAAATCGACTACACCCCCTAAGATTCATACACCCAATTGTCTTAGCGGATAAGACTTGGTTGTTGTATAGAGAGAGAGAAAGAGAGAGAAAAAAAGGTTAGTGAGAGAGAAGGGAAGGGAAGGGAAGGGAATTTGAAGGAGAGAGAATCCCACTCCATTTATACAATTTTAATTTCCATATTGTAACATCTCAAATGCATTAATAAAATTCTCCTTGTATAGTCGAAGTTTTCTATAATAAAAAAAAAACATTAATGATGATATCTAGTTTTGGTTTGGGAAGTTGAAGAAGCTTTGGCGTGTGAGAGAGGCTCTTTAGCTTCTGCCTTCTGGTTGGCGGAGCCTTCTTGACCAAGGCATTTGCTGTTTTCCAAAAACAAAACACAATTATATAACAATGCAGCATGCAACGAGCTATGAAATACATCTGAAAAGCTCCCCTAATTTTTAAGTAGAACTACGTGCAATGGCTTCTCTTCTTCCGGAAACTGATCGTGCACGACCAACATTTTCGGCTACCACTCCACATTTTTTCAAGATCATCCCGAATGACGCTTCTAGATACACAAAACTTGTAAGTTCACCTTTTTCTCTTTACTTCTTTGAGCTAGCCAGCTACTTAATTGAGTAATTACTTTTGTTGTTGTACAGCGGATTCCGGAGAAATTTGTGAATAAATATGGAGAAAATATATCAAATCCAATACTTCTTAAGCTTCCAAGTGGTGTAGAATGGGAAATCCAAGTAAGAGATTGTAATGGTGACATTTGGTTTGACAAGGGTTGGCCGGAATTCTCTGAGTTTTACTCTCTTGATTATGGAGACTCTCTAGTTTTCCGCTACGACGGGAATTCCAAATTTCATGTTTGCATATTTGATAGAAGTGCCACGGAGATTGAGTATCCATTACCATTTCCGGAGGTGGAAGAAACTGATGAAGATGATGATGAATCCGTTGAGGTTTTGGAGGATTTTCCACCCTGCCCAAGAACAAGGCAGAAATCTCCGTTGCCATGTCCTCTGCCTCGCATGAAAAAGAGAATAAGCACTTCTTCAGGTAAAAAATTCGGAAACAAAAGCTCTTCAAGGAGGCATCCATTGACCAAAAATGAAGAATCTATAGCTCTTCAGAGATGCATTGATTTCAAATCTGAAAAGCCTCACTTCACGGTTGCGATGCAGCCCTCCAACATATTCCATAAATTGGCAAGCTTTCTATTGACAATCAAACATTCTCTGTTCAAATATTTATTTGTTATCTTACTTGTTGCCATGCAGTGTTCAATACGATGTAAAATATATATGAAGAAGTAATACAAATTACTTTCGCCTTCTTTGTTTTTGTTTTTGAAGATTTTGCCTTCGGAGTTTGCCAAGAGGCATCTTATGCAGCAACCAACTGGTAGTGCCGTCCTTTGTGTTCCGGATGGAGGAACTTGGCATGTTAAATTCACATATGCAAATCAAATATCTCGGTTCTTGTGTGGTTGGCTGGCGTTTGTAGGAGATAATGATTTGAGAGTTGGTGATGTGTGTGTCTTTATCTTAATTAAGGACATTCCACTCTCGTTTGAAGTTGTCTTTTACCGTGGTACAGAGGCAACAAATTTCTCTTTTTCTCCAAGTTTACAATGAATCAGTTGTTAGTATTCGAATTTGTGCCCCGTTACAAATGCATAGCTTCCACATAAATGTTTTGTTCCATTTAGGACCTATTGATCAACTGACATAGAGTACAGACCGTTGATATGTCATCAACAGTATGACATCCTTTTCACCAAGAGAACTTCACATGTTACTGATGCAGTTTTCCCAATATTAGTTTTATTATCGATCTGCATTGAGAATTTTATGTTGTCTAAGTTAATGATTTAACTAGGTCGCTCTGGAAATGATTATATACTTTGTTGATTTTACTGTAGGTAAGTGCAAAATGGGGAAGATTAATGGCCGGCATGTTAGTCAGAGGCCTTGCACTTCATCTTTGAGTGCTTCTGAAGTTGCCAACAAGTCAAAGATTTCTGATCAGGTTGCTCAAAGGCCTTCATGTTTGAAGGCCTCAAGGGTTCTTGAAGCTGCTAACAAGTTCATCCCAAAAAATCCTTTCTTTAGAGCCACTGTGCGGTCACCATCCAAGCCAATGGTAGGGTCATTGACCACATATTTATACAACTTTGTTTCAAGCCTTCAAACACAAATACTCCATGAACCTTATTAGTTGTGCGTATATTATGTATATGTAGTTGCTCTAAATTAGGTATATATCATTCATCATATGCAGTATGTACCAGCCGAGTTTGCCAAGAGATTAAAATTACAAAAGAAGCAAATTGCAGCTCTTCGGGTCGGAGAGCAATTGTGGCCTGTTAATATAATTGGTTACAACAATGAGGGAAACAGACATTCGCACATTTCTGGTGGGTGGCGTGTATTTGCAGAGGAAAATCGTTTGAGAAAAGGAGATGTATGCACATTTGAGCTGATCGAGATAAGTGACATTGTGCTGAAAATTCATATTTTCAGAAGTTGATTACTCAAAGTGTGTACTGTCATTTAAAGAGGGACGCAGAGCACAGTTACCATGTTATGCTGCGAAAGAGACCTCATTTGGCTGCAGTTTCAAAGATCCATAAATACAATTTGTACTTTGTATTTTGATATATTAGTAGCATAATATCACTACTGTATAAAGAAAGTTGAAGTGTCATCGTAAAACCGCAGTAAACTAGTTATAAGGCCTTACATGGTCCCTTTTATATCCTCAACACTATATATAGACTGTTTTGAGTACCAAGAAGTTTGCGAAGAGTTTCATCGGACAAACGTTTTGCTTTCATACAGGCATATTCTTCTCTCTTCACATTCTGATCCTCAGTCACCTCTCTATAATGTAAGAGCCTGAGTTGGTTTCATAAAGTTTTGCTGAGTTGCCTCATCCAATTTTGCAACTACGGCGCTGGATTGTATGGTGGTTTACTGGAGAATATAGTTTTGAGAGGAATGTTGATGAGACGCTTTAATGTCATCTTATAGTTTAACATCAACTCTCGTGCCAGCATTATAAAACATCTTGTTAAAAACATGAGTGACAAAAAATCCATGAAAAATCTCACTTTTGAGAAAGGGGAGCATTTTTTCTCACCACCATTTAGTGTGGTATGTGCTCACCATCCTATTTATCACTGTTAGATGAGTTTGAATTCCGAGATTCATGTAGTAGATAAACACAAATCTCAAAATTCAAACTTATCTAACGGCGATAAATAGGATGGTGAGTATACACCACACTAAATGGAAGTTTGCACAAATACCAACTAAAGTTATAATATGTTCAAAACCAGAGAAGTGTTCCATTATAAAATATTGTGCAAAAAATATAAGATGACGGAGACTTCTCACTTTGAGAGAGTCTCCTTCTTACCTCTAGCATTTCTCTTCTCCTTTTCCATATTATTATAGCATCTCAGATAACAATGATATTTAGCTTGGGTTGGGAAGTTGAAGAAGTTTTGTAGCGTCGGAAGTTGAAAAAGTATCTCAAATAATGAAAGCTTAAATGCGGCAGAAATTCGCAGCGCAGCCTTCATCGTAACAAGTTCTATTTTCCAAAAAAGAAGAACAATTATTACAGCAATTACCTGCTCCAGTAATTAATTAGCCGCATCCTTTGGAAAATTACAGATTTACTACTACAAGTCTACAAGCGCTGAAATAAAATCTTAAGCGCTGCAATGGCTTCTCTTCTTCCGGAAATGGATCCTCGTCAACGGCTGAGCTTTTCTCCTACCACTCCCCATTTTTTCAAGATCATCCCTGTTGAAACATCTAGATACAGAAAACTTGTAATTATTCATCTGTATCAAATATTTTTTTGACAGAAGATTGCTGATGAGCTAGCTAGCTAATTGAGCTTCTTTTTTTTTTTTTTTTTTTTGCTTTTGTTGTTGTACAGAGGATTCCGAAGAAATTTGTGAACAACTATGGAGAAAATCTATCAAATCCAGTACATTTCAAGCTTCCAAGTGGTGCAGAATGGGAAATCGAAGTGACAAGGCGTGGTGGGGAGGTTTGGTTTGACAAGGGTTGGCCAAAGTTTTCTGAGTTTTATTCTCTTGGCTATGGTGACTGTCTCATTTTTCGATATGAATGGAATTCCAAATTCCATGTTTGCATATTTGATAGAAGTGCCACGGAGATTGAGTATCCATTACCATTGCCGGGGATGGAAGAAACTGATGAAGATGATGATGAATCTGTGGAGATCCTGGAGGACTTTCCGCCGTGCCCAAAAACAAGGCAGAAATCTCCATTGTCGTCTCCTCCTCCTCGCAAGAGAAAGAGAATAAGTACTTCTATTGGTTCTACAAGTAAAAAATTAGAAACCAAAAGCACTTTATGGATGAAACCATTGACTGAAAATGAGAAAGCTATTGCCCTTCAGAGAGCCATCGATTTCAAATCCGAAAACGCTCACTTCAAGGTTGCCATGCAGCCTTCCTACATATTCAGCCAATTGGTAAGCTTTCTATGGTAAAATCTTCTGATATGATAACCATAATTCTCTTCGAAAATGTTTTCATGCTGCCTTACTTACATTTTCTTTTTCTTTTTGAAGGTTTTGCCTTCTGAGTTTGCCAAGAAGTATCTTACGCAGCATCCAACTGGTAGTGCCATCCTTCGAGTTCCGGATGGAAGAACTTGGAATGTTAAATTCAAATATGATAACAAAAGAGCGCGATTCCTGCTTGGTTGGCCGGCATTCGTAGAAGACAATAATCTGAAAATCGGCGATGTGTGTGTATTTATGTTGATTAAGGGCTTTAAAATTACATTTGAAGTTGCCTTTTACCGCAGGAAAGAAGCTGCAATTTGTTCCATTTCTTCTGCTGCAAAGGAATGTAGTGGGGGCCTGCGAACCGCTCAGAGAGGCCAGGAACCATTCACAATCTCTGAAAGATCAAGAGCATATAAAAGCTACACATCTCTGGATTATGAAGGTGAAGATGAGGACTCTGTTGGAATCTCGGATTTTCAACGGTGCACGAAAAAAACGAGGGAGAAATCACCATTATCCTCTCCTCAACCACTCAAGAAAATCAGAACAAGTAATAAAGCAGCAAAAAAACGCAACATCAACTTTAGGCCAACAAAGATTGAACCTCGCTCAAAATCTGCAGTCAACAGTAAGCATATATTAGAAAATTTGGTTACGTACTAAATAGGCAATGTTTTTTGAAAGACCTCAACGGTATGAGGAAATACTTTAGGCACTTTAAAAAAAAAAAAAAAAAAAAAACAGTATTGAATTTATTTTTCCATCACTTTGACTACTTTTAACGCATTACTTTTGTTTTGGTCACAGGGGAAGATGAATCAAATGATGATTCTGTTGTATCCTTGCACAAATCTGCCTCCTGCACGAAAAATATCAAAAAATCTCTTTTGGCATCAACTACAAGTGGAAAAGCTATAGCTCTTGAGAGAGCCATTGCTTTCTGTTCCAAATCTGTAAACCCTTCGTTTTGGATTGTCATGCAACCGTCGTATGTCACTCAAAGTTACTTGGTAAGCTTTTGTATATACAGAATCCTTTGAAGCAAATAACAAGATTAATGTTAATTATTCCAATATTTTTCTGAAATACTTTGTTCTCGTCCTAATTTGCTGTTTTCCATTTTTTCAAAGCATTTACGATCAGAGTTTATCAATAGACATCTTAATATGAAGTCTGCTGGTCGTAATGCCATCCTTCAGGGTCCAAATGGAGGAACTTGGTCTGTTAAACTCAAATGTGAAAACTCGAAAGGCAGGTTCCTGCAAGGTTGGCAAGCATTTGTAACGGACAATAATTTGGAAGTGGATGATGTTTGTGTTTTCACCTTGATGAAGGACGTTAAACTTTCTTTCGAAGTTTTTTTGTTCCGCACTACAGAAGCTGCAAATTGCCGCATGTCTCCAACAGGTAAATAATCAGCTATTAATTTTAGAATTTGCGCCTAAAACGGAACTGTCCCACTCTGTTCCGTTCTTCAATAATGAATTTGTGCACCAGGAACTGTGGTCCGTTCTTCAATAATGAACTGACTGTTGATTTGTCATGGGTAATGAACCGGCTGAGGTCGGTTCGCCCATATCATTATTGTCAGCAAAACATACGAACATATTATCGAATACATTTTCGACAATATTGATGCCCTTTAAAGAATGGACGTCCTGCACAACGTATTTCTGTGGTGCATAAGTTTAATTATGTCTAACCAAAAATTTTGGCCGAGGAAATATGATGATTATACTTTGTTGGTTTTATTAAAGGGCCTTCCGATACATCTTTGAGCGCTGTTGAAGCTGCCAACAAGTTCGTTTCAAGCAATCCATTCTTCAGAGTCACCCATGGTCTGGGGTCATCCCGTGTGTTGGTAAGTATCATTGACAACATATATTTACAACTTAATACCTGTTAATCATCTCCATTATACACAGGGCCAGTGCGAAAGTTAAAAGTAAGGCCATTTTACATTTAAATACTTATTTTTTTTAACCATGTATAAATGCCAGAAACAAAATTTTATAGCTAAGAATCATCGTCAGAAATCGTCAATTTACAAATATTATCATGCATAGGTGCCACCCATACATCGTTGATCTGTCACATATGTATTCATACTCAAATAGTTTTTTTTTTCTATGTATTTAGAAAAATGCTTTGTGGTTCAAAAAAACAGAAAAATGCTATTGAGACTCACTTTCACAAACAGTTCTAGTGTTTCTCTTGTGTTTAATACTATATATCTATTTTGTGCAGCGTATTCCAACTAGTTTTTCCAAGAACTTCATTGAAAAGAAGAAACAAATTGTGAAACTTTGGGTTGACGATAGAATGTGGCATGTGAACTTGACTGTTCATTGGCGTAAGGCACTTAAATTATCTGCTGGCTGGGCTGCATTTGCTAAGGGAAATTGTTTGACAGAAGGAGATGTTTGCATATTTGAACTTCTCGACAGAAATGATATCTCACTGAAAGTCTACATATTTAGATGTTGATTATTGTGGTGTTTAGTTTGTCTTGATAGGGTTTTGCTTTGTTGGGTTCCACTGCTCTTTGTTAGAACTGTTTGAGGATGCTTTGGTAGACCTTATGGGTTCTTGCCTCATTTTGGTTCAGTCTTCTTTTCATTTGGTAATAAGAGCAATATCTGAATATCTGATGGATTATGAGTTAATATTGCTTTAATTTCAACCAGTTATGTGCAAACATCTAATTACTTCAACTAGTTTTGCATGTTCCTGGACTCAATCAGATGCATGCCATTGTATCATTGATGTTCTATGTTCACATTTCATTGCATCTGCTCATATTCAAATTTGATGTCAGTGCCTTGTGTTGTGAATTAATGGGCTGGTTATCGGAAAGTGTTGGAAATTGGCTCGGCTGGTCGGTGGACATGAGGGAGAAATCTCTGTTACCATGTCTTCAACCATTCAAGAATATCAGAACAAGTTCAACTAGTAAGGAAGAAAAACCTAACACAGCAGTCACGATTTCATTGCTTCAGCATGGGGAGTGACTATGAATGAATTTTGATTCTAAACGCCAATTGGAAGGGATGAAATGACAATTTTAACATGTGAGGCTCACGTGCAAGCTATTAACGATGGACATGGCTCTCTTTCAAATACATTTTTATTTTTTATTTTTGAACAAAACGATATTATTTACACCTTAGTGTATGTGTATGGGAGTGAGCTAAGTCTCACAATAGTAGGTTATGACGTATTCCTCAAGTGCTAGGCTTGGAAGGATTCAATGGGGAGGCCATTCATTCAAGCAATTACGAAAACGACACGAAATATGGTGGGAAAATTGTTTTGGTCGTTGGGCCTGGAAATTCAGGCATGGAAATTGCTAATGATTTGTCAAACTGGGGAGCTAAACTTCCATTGTTGTCCGTAGCCCGGTAAACTTACGTCTTCCTTTTTCTCCCACACAACGCCAACTAAGCTATTTTGTTTTAGCTCCTTGAATGTGCACTCAAATTTGTATTGATCATCTTACTTTGCCTACATTAATATTTAAACTTTAGTAAAAATCGCAGGTACACGTTCTCAACAAGAAAATGGATTGACTATTAATATTTAAACTTTCGTTGTTCAGATGATGCACATTGTATATCAAACGACATTAGTTCGTGTTTGAACTTACACTACAAGAAAATGGATTGACTATGATGGATTATCAAGCGTGATAGAGTAACGTGGCATTCATAGTAAATTCATCTGATATTACAACAAAAAAAAAAAAAAATCGTTTTCTTTGAACCTGCTGACCAGATATTGTTTGTAAGATTCATTATTTTTATTCTTTGAATTGATTTTTCAATAAGTTAATTGATTCTTTGCATGTGTTTTTGGTGAATGAAACTTTGATATACACCTGGTAATTTCTTACACGATCCGTTAATATGATATGTAAGCGATATGAAAATAAAAGATTTTGGATCGACACAATAACTAATCGGGATCACACGATAACAACCTGTTATTAATGGGTCCTTAACGGATTAACACGAGAGTGACACACGGATAACCTATTTCGACACATTAAGAAAAAAGTTATAGTGTACATGTATATAGTGAATATTAAAATATGTATTATTGAATTATTATTCTATATAAATTTGAACATTTTAAGTTTTATTTATTTTTATAATATACTATAGGCAAGGAGTAAGATTAAAAAATGATAAAACACATTAAAATTAAAAATATAAAGTAATTTAAAACTATCAAACACATTAAAAAATATAACAATTAATTTACAAGTGCAAAAAATGTGAAAAAATATGCAAATGCTCATGATCACATTCAGTACACTTTGAGGATGGGTACATTGTGGTTTGAATTTTTAGAACCATACAAACCCTCGTGAATAGTATTTTTAAGGGAGTCAAAATGAACCAATATCATTTCCCTTGGTGATTCATGAAAATTGAAGGGTTTTATTGTAAAAAAACGTGCAAGGTTTCCTCAACCTTGAAACGCAACTCCTTTCGTTTTGCATATCCTTGAACATTTGGTATTTTGTAGTAATGTACTAATGTTTTTCATTAGACTCTTATTTTGGAGTATGTAATACTTTATTTTACAGTAAAAGCATTCCCGAGTTGCTTCGTGTAAGGAGATAATTTCAGCATGGTTAGACGAAGTGGCAACTAAGATCAGTTTAGTTGACCTCCAAAAGATTAAAGTGCCTCCAACGGTAAAAACATAACCCATTTGAGAATGTGCCTTGTGTGGATCAGATAAGTATCTTGCATCGTCATAACCAACAAGGCGAGAATTGACTCGAGATAAGGGAGAGTTTGGCTAAGTCACACAATGAGCAACCTAATTTGGTATCGAATTCATCATCCATGAGATTCGAACCTAAGACCTCTCACTTCCAAGTGAAGACGAATACCATCAGACCATAGTACTGAGTGGCTAGAGTATGTTGACACGCCCCGACCCCGAGGTCCTAGGGACATCGAGATGGTCACGTGGCACCCGAAGGGTGACGAAACCATTTAATTAAAACAAAAACTGAGAAAATAAACTAAAGTACGCAATAAAGGCTAAAAACCCAAATAAAAGTTCAACTTCTAAATATTGAAATTAGGTAAACACACAGCACGTCCAGAACATAATTCTAATACAGAGTACAAGCAGAACTAAGAATAAAGAAGTGCTATTACAATAGGTGGCAAAGCGGAGCGAATATGACACAAATCACTAGTAAGGGAACGCCTCGTAGCTCAAGTCGTAATCCTCGTTCCTAGGTCCTGAAGGGGGCGCAAAACAAAGGTGAGTGGACCAAGTTTATATATACAGTACTAGTAAAACAGTTATCAACATACTAACCCCCAGGTTTATGAAAACACAAGTATAATGATAAATATAGGTTTTCCGAAATCTAGCATGTCGTGCAATGTCTCAAATCATAAATCGCATAAATAATAAACACTAGTGAATGTCCGATACAACTCTCCAGGCCCCATGCCGGCTCCCCGTCTCTGAGCACACAATCAAAGGAAAATACACTTCAAGCCCCTTGCCGGCTCCCCGTCTCTGAGCAGACAGTCAGAGGAAAACACACTCCAGGCCCTATGCCAACACCAAACCGTCGCCCGGAACGGACCGGATCTATCCCTACGTCCCGTAGCGGAAAGGACCACTAGGTAAGTACAAAACCAGTGAACATACATATATTGAAAATCAACTTCATAGTATAAAGTCATCCATCATCTATACTATAAAGAAGTGTTATAAACATGTTCTAAATATCATATCGTCATCCATCAGATATTCTATAAGAACATGGGTTATAGGAAAAATAGTAATAATTCAAACTAGCCTCAATAAGCATATTATCTCAAAACGTTTCATAAAACATAATCGTAAAGTCATGCTTTTGTGTGTATGCAATTCTACCATTAAAACATGCATTTTTTAGAAGGGGTCCACTCACCGTACACCGATGGTGCAAGCCGTACCAAACAGGAATAACGGAATCACCGCTAAGAATCGCACCTAAACACATAATTGAGTACTTTCAGTCAAACTCTACTTAAACGATTGAATTTGAGAAAACGGACATCGGAAACGGGTTTAGAACGTCGAAATTAGCCTAGGAGGGTCCCCGCACGAAAACACAAAAAGTCAACGGTCAAAATCAACGTTGACTAGTCAAAGTCAAAAGTCAACGTTAATCGTTGTCCCAGTCAACGGTCATTGGGTCAAAGGGTCAAAGTCAACGTGTCAGAGTCAACATGTCAACGGGTCACGGGTCGGGTCAGGGCTTTAGGGTTTTGGGTTAGGGTTTTGGGTAATTGGGTTTAGGTTTTTAGGTGGGTTGGGTAAAAACAGAAAATGGTTTGGGTTTTGGGCTAACAGGCCCGAAGGCCTTAAATAAGAAAAAGGGAAATGGGTTTTGGGCTGCAACCAAGGCCCTAAGGCCTTTTGGGTTTTTAAAATGAAATAACTAAAAACCAAAAAAGGAAAGGGTGGGGATATTGGGCCAAAGACCCAAGTCAGGCCTAAGGCCCGCGGGGAAACAGAATGGCCCGAAGGCCTGGGTGCGCCGGAGAAGACCACCGGAGCTTCCATAGCTCCGGCCAACTTCAAACACTCGAACTAGCCCCCGATCTAGGTACCAAAATGAAGCACTAGAGGAGAGGAGTAGTTTTATACCTTGGATTCGCCGTGAAACGGCTTGTGGTGGCCGGAAAATCCCTCGGAAACCACACACTCGCCGGAAAGTTTGGGTGCCTTCACCCGTGCCAAAACTCTCCAAAACCTTGAAAATTCATGAACCCAACTCAAAAACCACATCTAAGCAAAGTCTAACATAATAAAAGAAGAAGAAAAAGGGCTTACCCAACCGGAAAAATCACAAAACTCGCCGGAGGTGTTCGTGTCCTCCGGCACCGCGAGCAGGGGAGAGAGAAAGAGAGAGAGGGAAGTAGTTGGACGGCGACGATGGTGATGACTTCCTCGAGTAGGTGTAGCTGTGGGTGTGTGTGTGTGTGGGTTGTCACGGGTAGAAGAAGAAGAAGAGGAAAGAGAGAGAAGGAAAGGTGCAGACATACCAAAACAAAAGAAAAGAAGGAAAAGAAGAAAAAGAAAAAAGAAGAAAGAAGAAGGGAAAGGATGTCACGGCAGGGGGGCCAAAAAGAGCAACAAAAGTAAGGGAGTTGGGGTGCTGCCACGTGGCAGCTTAGGGTAGAGAAATAATTTAAATTTTTCAGATCTTGAATGTATAACAAAATGAGGACCAAAGTGATAATTCTATAAATTTTTAGGGAGAAATACAGAATTATCTTTATAAGCAGGGGCGGGTGTAACATATGTAATACTTAAAAGACGAATGTTGTTTTTATGTTTTGAAGTAAGATTTATGTGACAATGTTATATACATATACAAATTTAATATTATGTTTTCAATTTTTTTGGGGTCAAATTGTGTTTTTCATTTCCATTATTTATTTATTTAAAATATATTTTCC